AATTGATAGATATCTCAGTTTTCTCATCTATTGTTATTGGCACACTCTTTGTTGAAACAAGTATTCGATCTTTTAAACTCATCTTTTGTTCTGTGATGTTTTGTTAGTGGAATAATTGAGATCCTAACTGGACCGTTTGCGATTATTATTGTTGACTTGAGAGTAGATATATCGACAAATTTTATTTCAAGTAATTTAAAGCTCATAGTGATTGAATGCTCAGTTTTTTAAAAGGGTAAAATACTCGGCGCTCTAAAAGTATGTGTACCAATATGGAGGTAACCAATTTTGTTCGCCTGTTTTACATCAAGTTGTGTAAAGGAACGGAAGCCTATGGGCAGGGGATGCGAACTGGTAATGAAACTAAAATAAGGAAAATCAGAATAAAATTATGACCTAACCCTTACCTGGTACACATACTACGGGAGTACGAAATATTGTAATATTTGTTAATAAATGTATATTTGACCCTTTTTCTGTACAATTTGTTTAAACATATGGCATTTATAGGCTATCTTATCAGCCTTTCTTTTCCTTTGGATAAATTGAAAACCTATCCTAATAATATTAGTTCTTATTGGGGATGCAGAAACGTTTTAGGTTTCAATAAATCCCAAATCCTGATTTGAAAATCTGTCTTTAAAAAGTAATGACAAAATTATATTCCATGAAAACAAATTCGTCATTTTTGTAAGTTTTGCTCATTTAGTAAGTTTCATCGTGGATATATTTGGAGATATTGTTTCAAAGGGCATTTGAAATAGCAGATTTTTCAGTTGTGAACGTCTTTGGTGCTAGAGAAATTTTTTTATTAAAGTGCAACATTTTTAGTTTATTCATGTTTAATGTGGAAAAATAGTATCTCCTTTTATATCAATAGCTGCTTTAAGCGTCGTATAAAAAATATTCATGTTCATAAAATGTAAACAAAGACTAGATCACATGACACCGCAGACTCATCTGATCTCAAATGGTTACCAATATTGCTAACATCAGACCGACAAATACTCTTTTATGATTGTACGTAATCCCATAACTGATTAAATATTAACAATTTTTGAAATCGATGTCATGACACTCCTCACGTGGAGCGTGTTCAAATATTTATTCGTGTCACATGTTGTTGCCAGGATTTGTTCGTTTGCAAGATGTTACCTAATTATATATTGAACCCAGAATGCTCAAATGAATTTTCATCGGGCGGGTTTCATTCAAAATAAATTTACATTATGAGTTTTTGATTTCTTTTCATTTAGATCAGACATGGGCTAAGTACGGCCCGCTGGGTAATTTAATCTGGCCCGCCTGATGCTGCCACAAATAAACTGAAATCAAATGTTGATGCTTCAGCTAAAATAGTTCAAGGAATTTGTTGAGATTGCGCTTAAAGTTAGTTTAGGCACGAGGCTTCTGGTTTTCCACTTTTGCTTTTGTAACACTGTAAATATTGTTCATGAAATGTAACTTTTTATGCCACACCCACACTTAAATGGCACGGCAGTCTAAGTGGGCAAACTTTTGGGCTCTGGTTTAAAAACCTTCCCCGCCCCTGATTTAGAGCAATCAAAGTCTCACATTTAGACCATAAGTGGTTTCATTCAATTTCATAAAACCGTGGGTATTAGACAACGGGCATATTATATTATTACATATTATACTTATACTCACATATACAATTACTATTGAGCAACACTAACACAGAATACAAAATTTACTAGAAAATAAAATCAATAATTTTCAGGGGACCAACCTTCAATATTAGTTATAGGCCTATATTATGATTTTGCATATTCTCAGTTTTATGAATATGTTTTAAAATTTAAACGGATATTCTTGGTAATAACAAACTTTTTCGTTTACAGTCAAGATTGTCTTCACTTATATAAAAATTCAATAAATCAATTTCTTGATTTTGAAACTTAATTACTGAAATCTATAGCACAAAGGCAGTTGCAATGCTTCTTGGGGTCTTAGTATTATCAACTTTATGTATCTTGTCCTTGTTAATATAATTGCTTTATAATTACTGTAACTACCATTCATTCTTTAATTGCGGTGAGACAATGTCACACTTTCATTATGTTTTATGATGCCTGTATATCAGTTATGACCTCTTAGTGATAATGACTTTTGCTTGCTTACTGGGTGTGGTATTCATCTGTGGAACACTGTAAAAAAAGATCAGAAAATACTGATATTTTTGAACGATTTAAAGTGAGAGTTGTACTATGTATAGCATTAGTTTATTACATCTTGAAATAGGTACTGTTTCGTGTATACTCATTCATGCACCATATAATAATCTGCTATAAATTTCTGTTCACAATGAATTGAATAAGGTTCACTGTAAAGAGTGAACTTGGATATGTTTGAATAACTGTTAAATTCATGTTACTTTTGCGGGGTTTTATTTGTCTACCGGTTTTATTTCAAAGCAAAGTTGCTGACTGAGTAAAGGTTGATCGGAAGTGGCAATTTGATAATAAAATTTCAGTTGTTACTACCTAATTTATAATTGTCTACAGACAGTTGTAAAGAGTTACTGGTCCATAAAATAGGAAGAAAAAGTGCTGCTATAGCACCTGAGACAAAATGAAACTTGAAAAATTTTATTTTTAAAATATTGCAAACAAAGAAGCTCCTTAAGTTGGTATCTAATCACTGTTTGAAATAGTATTTATCAAATTATTTCAATGAAAAAGTTTAAAAATCAAAAATACAGTTTTACTCTTTCTCAAAGCGCCTTTTTTAGGTTTTCGTCTTTTTGAGGTTAAAACCCTTGCTTTGAAAATACTTAAACATCATTGTCAGAATATTAGTAAATTTTATATCACGTTGTTACCAGTTATGCATTTGCTTGCGATGAGTAAGTCTAGTAGAAACCACTGGCTATGGTGGTATGAATCAACATATAGAAAGTGGAAAAGGTGTTTTTGTGAATGGCAATTCCCATAGGAAGGAATTAGTGAATAGTCTGCCAATGTCTGAGTAACAAAGTCATATTCTATGCTGTTGATGGGGATTACTGTTACTGCAAATCGTAATATTGGACACAAAGTGATATGGAATGGCCGAAATCGAATATTTTGCTCTTTCGAATACATTCTGAGAAAAAATTTTGAATATGAAATATCCAATACATTCTAAATTAAGGCCGAAAACTAAAAAAAACTATATGCAGTCTTTGACAAGGTCTTTTTTATTGTATTCTCAAAGCGACAATTATATTTCCATTCAGCTTTATTCTAAGCTACCAAGTAGACAACTTTCTCAGATTCATCAAACTAAATTCCCAAGTATTGTCGGTAAGGATACAATTTTGAAATGATTTGTTTTCTCAGAATATAAGAAAAATGTAGGGGAATCTTTGGCCACGTTAATGATCAAGTTAGACCCGACTTAAATTTTTTTCCACCGCACTTCATCAAGACATTATACATTTCCATTGTTCACTTATTAACTAGCTACTATTGTATCAATAAACGAACATTTATATTTTCATTCAGCTTTATTCTTAACAACTAGTAAATAACCTTCTAAAAATACCAAAGAAAATTCAAAATGTCTGAAGTTGAAGAAACTATAAAAAGAATCCAAGCTCACAAAGGAGTTATCGGAATAATAGTTGTAAACAACGAAGGAATCCCAATTCGCACAACTTTGGATAATTCAACAACCGTACAATACTCCGGTCTTATCAATATGTTAACGATGAAAGCAAGAAGTACAATTCGAGATATTGACCCCCAGAATGACCTTACGTTTCTCCGACTTCGATCGAAAAAACATGAGATAATGGTCGCTCCTGATAAAGAATATCTTCTGATCGTGATACAGAATCCAACTGATAATTAAACTTGATTAGATTAGATAAGATATTTTCACTTTAGTGTTATCATTTGTTCCAAAAATATTATAGTAAATCTTTTTATATTTCATTCCATGTCGAGTTTCATTTTGTGTTTTGTTCATTTTGTGTTTCTTATTTTACTTGTAAACTTGGGAGTAACGTCTACAATGGAATTTTTTTCAATGAAATGTGGATTTAGTAATTATGGCAATACTTTTTACAAGAATATGAATATTAGAAATTTTTATAGATAGATTTTTTTTTTATAGATAGTGTGGGTTGTATTAAAGTGTTGCCAATGAAGGATTCAAGATATTTGTATCTATTGAGGAAAGCATTGTAGAAATATATTAGCCTCAGTGTGCAAAAAGAATCACTTAGATTTTTATTTCTGTTATTTTATGCATTGGTGAAATTTCATTTTGTATGAAATGATATCGGAATATGCGTCTAATTTTGCAAAGTAAGATTTGGCAATAACTTTACTGATAATTCGTCTCCCTTTTTTGTAAATACAAATTCAATTTTGACTTCATTTATACTCGAAACTCTTTGGGAAAGTATAGCTTACAGTAGTTATCGTTTGTGTTTCAGAATAGTACCATTTATATTGAGCGAACAATATTTGTGTTCATTATCGTTTATATACTGTGTTGTTGAGTCACTCAATGGCCTTAAAATATCTGTTATGGTTTATAACCTATTGTCCTATTTTAACATTCACTTAAATATTGTGATGACGTAATAGTGTTTTGAAACCATTTGTGAAACAAACTAACAAAGTAGTTTAGTTTTCAGTTGTTACCTTAAATCAAGATGTGTGGTTAGTAAATATTGCTTTAAAATTTTCTGCTATAAAAGAAATTTTATATTGCTATTAGGATTTTTTAAATCAATTTTTGATGCTACTATGACGTGATGTCACTCCTAACATGCCACATTACAGCGTTAGATTTACCTCGATATAGTACTATAGCATAAAGTCACAACTGCATTTGCCATCCCTTTGCAGAATGTCCGAAAACAAATGAAACCCATTAATTCGATTACCAATTTTGTGGGTTTCATTCATTATGGGACAATGTATCAATTATCTCTATATATTCACTAGTGATTTATGGCATGGATCACTAACTATAAGATATAACTATAAGATGATTGACCTCAGTCTGTACCTGTATAGAGGACATAATGGCGGTAAACCTCGGTCTATAGTAACACCCAATGCTCTGACCTGTTTCGGTTTGGTATAATGTACCAAATTCATGGTGTGTGTTTAGATATTGGCTGTAATATGTGTCAAATTATTCTAGCTTTGCACTGTTTGTCTTTATGTATCTATTTGTGTTTTGTAGAGAGTTTATTTCACTGTAGGATAATAATAGATCGAGCAACGTACATTGTTTGCTCATTATTTAATCATAATGGAGAATGAGTCAATGAATGGAACTGCAGATTCTGACAAACTCGACACATCCAGGTCATCGGCAAGTGAGGATTCAACAAAGAGTCCAAGAGCTAAAGTTCCTTATGCTTTGCACTTAGATTTGAATAATAAAGAAAATGAGAAAGGTGGGTTATTTGGTGTTTTTTGTTTCAAATTGAACTATAGTTTTATGTTTTGCTATTTACTAATGAAAGGGTACTCCTGTAGTATATGTACCAGGTTAGGGTTAGACCGTAATTTTATTCCGATTTTCCTTATTTTAGTTCTATTACGAGTTCAGGACTGTATGTGTCAGCCAAGTGAATATACCCCCTGTCCATAGGTTTCAGTCCCTACACAACTTGATGTAAAGTAGGCGAACAAAATTAGTTACCTCCATATTGGTACACATGCTTCTGGAGCGCCAATGAAAGTGCTCAAGTATGTTCACTCTTTCAGATAAAAAGTGGGATTCTGGTGTTACTGGTTCACAATATCACCCCCCGTGTCCATCATCCCACTCATAGTGTAATACAGGGGTGTACAACATTTTCTTCTGGGGGTCATAATATACCACCTTCAGATATCTAGCTGGGCCACACAGGAAATTTAGTTTATTTATGTACACAACAAAGTGCTAAGCAACCACAAGATGGATTATTACATCACACTATAATATTGTAAACAAGTGTTATGAAATCCCACAGCAACGAAATACATCAGCGACAAGTGTTAACGGGGTACGGCCCTGAGATTGCATATTAAAATCTTAGTTAATATAACTCTTGTATTTTCCGCATTATCATAAAATTTTCAATACAACACAATTTGGCCACGTAGGCAATTCAAGTGCAAAGCACATCATGTGACTGGTACTGTTTATATAAGTGCAGATAAGCACCCTTCAGTCTAGCCACTACCTTTGTTTCAGCCACTTATACCATGATATTTCATGTTCTATATGCTGCATTGCTTTTGTTTTGAGCTTTTTTGATCTAGTGCTAGATAGTTCATAATAAAGTTAAAGTTCATAAACATGGAAGCATTTAGTATTTATTAAAGAATCTGCTACAGCATCATTGAATTATACAAATCCACCAGCATAAACACATATATATATAGGAACCTTATGCATCTAGTGTTGCGTAACCTCAACTGATAATTGAGTATAAGTGTTTAAAAAAAAACTTCTGACATATAATTCTGCAATCTCTTTGAAAGCTGTAGTTTATAGATTTTGCTTTTAAGGAAGATTGTTAGTATGAGACAGCTTATAAATAATAATAGCTAAGAGGTGTGATAATCTGGATAATGTGATGTCATGGTTTAAAACACAATCATGCCATTGGATTTACCTTATGTCAGTCCCTACTGGGTCTAAATACTGCTACATACTTAAAAATGAACCATGTGAAAATCCCTGTTACAGACTAATGGTATCAGTCAGTACTATATAGTGAGGTCATTATTTGATTCATGTTCATGTGAATCTTGCAATATGTGAAAACCCCTGTTCTAGACTAATCTCTTTGTACCTTTTTGAAATTACCCTAGGATAATTATTTGTGTATTATTTTAAATCGATTTTTGCTCCGAACGAGTCTTTTTACAAGCATATGATGTTTGGTGATCTTTGATTTATTACACCCTGACTAAGGTTGTATGAGTGGGATTTAAATCTGTGATGTGTAACCTGAGATGCCAATGTAGTGAAGTCTAGCACTTTAAACTGTTAGGCCATCATGCTTATCTTAGTTGGTGTTTAATCAGCATGATATGGAGGACTAAACTTCAGTACCCTTCAACATTTTCTTGGGTCAATGATTTAGATAACTATCTTTGTTTGTGTTTAATCAGCAGGATATGAACGATTTTGGTGTCATACTACATTTAAATTATAAGCGGGTCATTGGGACTGTTACAATATCCAAAAACTCCTGTTCTAGACATTTTTCATAATCCCTCGTTCAATGATTTGAATAACTATGTTGGTTAGTGTTAATCAGCACAGTTTGGAAAGGTTCCTGTGTCATATTACTCACCATTTGATTCATAATCATGTCGCATATTTTATATTAATTACCCAGGGGACAGCAGCAGCAGTAGTAAGAGTAAACAGCCTACTACACCGAATTCTCGAACGTCCAGCACGTCTGCGACATCTGGCCAAAACAAAAGTGCAACAAAGAAACCACAGACTCCTACCGATACTGTAAGTTTTCCATAGAATTATGGGTAGATTACAGGAATCAAAATTATCTGTAAATCTTATTGAAATATCCTCTTACCTTTCTTTGCTTCAAATAATAGAAATTTTATTTTAACTCAATGAAAAACTCTCAGTGGTATATCGGCTGCATTCGTTTTAAAATAATTTAGGACTGTCATTCTGCATAACGGAGATATTTAGGTCTACCGTCAGAAGCGAAGGGACTAATTGCTCATATTGTAGACTTACCATATCTCCCGTTTTACGCGGGACAATCTCACTTTTCAACATCTTGTCCCAATAGTCCAGCTTTGGCGTTCAGCTAGTTAGCATAATACACGAACATTACCATTTAGAATGCTCTCGTTACTAGTGTAGTGTTATTTAAACAAACAGTGCATGAACACCCGGTGACAATATCGTCAATGAAGACAGCCATGATGGTTTTAAATGTAGGCCCCTAATGTAAAAGAGCTAAATTTTAAGTTAAAAAAATCACAGCTATGGTCTTTGGAGGCGACCGGCTTTTAGGTCACAAAAATATGGTAACCCCATCAAATCGTGACTGCCATGGCTAAACTGGGACGTATAGTATGAATAGCCATACTTGTATCTGACCACATACTAATCAAAAATTTAAAGACCAGCTGATTTTCTATCGACTGATTTACCATATTTGTGGTTTAGTCTGAAATTCCTTAAAACCTCAGGATTGTGCCTTAGGGTGATGTGCTGTCAGTTTTTAAGTGATTAGAAATTGATTTGAATCACACTACCTGTATTTATATATGGAAAGGGGATACTGGTTTTCACGGAGGCTTAGGTATGGGACAATTTTGTGCAAAAACATTTATATTTCGGAATTTTAGAAATTGCATTTCTATCTTACGAGTTTTTTGAATGTGTTCATTTAATATTGCTCCCTAGCCATAAGTTTAAGAGAACAATGGAAAAGGGGTGATAGAAATGCTGTGAATAAAACACTGATGCTTTTGGCTTCTAGTTTTTTGGTTGAATTGTAAAGACGTTTGGGTATAGATTTATTTGAGTAATTGTGTGTGTGTGTGCACTGTTGGATGTCAATTCTATCTAACGAGTTAATTGAATGTGTTCATTTGATATTGCTCCCTAGCCATAAGTTTATTGAGGACAATGGAAAAGGGGTGATGGAAATGCTATGAATAAACACTGATGCTCTTGGCTTCTAGTTTTTTGGTTGAAGTGTAAGGACGTTTAGGTATAGATTTATTTGAGTAATTGTGTGTGTGTGTGTGTGTGTGTGTGTATGCACTGTTGGATGTCAGTTTTATCAAAGGTTCAGACTTCAGTATCGGTTGACTTTTGCAATGTAAAGATTAATATAGTAAAGTAAGAGTACTTATTTGAAACAATAGTACACACTGCATTTTGGATTTTCAATTTTTTAGTCTTCCTTAAATAACAGAATTTTAAATCTAGTGCGCACTGTGTTTATTGAATATCACCAGCAGTGCTTTTAAAGGACACAAAACTGTATACAATGTACTGGGTGACTTTTTCAGTCCCTTTGCAATTTCAATTTTGTTATGAAGTCAGTTCTCAATATATCTTAACCCGGTTTGTTTGTTTTTTTATCATAAATTCTTAAGTATTTTTACTTTTTTCGATACATTCGTGAGGGCCAAAACAATATATGATTTCGATAAATTCCTTTTGCAATTTTAAAAAATTTTAATACTTTATGGACACCCTATGAATAATATAATATTATAATATTCTACAATATGGGTTGCCTCATTTATCATTCCTGCAAGAATGAACACCTGCCTTTTAAATGTATTCCCATGAGAGACATACCTGTCTATTTTTAAATATTACTCTTCTCTGTTGTTGGACTCGGCCTGTCTGTAATTGATAAATAATTTCACCAAGCTTAACTGAGGCTTTCACTTTCAAATATATTCTCAGTATGGTAAACAAAAATCCTGTTCTGTTATGTGAGTATTTCAGTTCTTGAGTACTCTCATATAAGTCATGGTTTATGCCCAATTTAATTTATAGATTATCAGAAGTCATAAATGGCAAATTTACCATGAAAAAGAACTTTTTAGTTTTTGTTATATAATACACTTGCTATCTAAATAAAAAGATTCTATATTTCCCTTTAAACTAAATATTTGGCCACCCCTACCCTGAAACATGATAAGACTTCCAGTCTACTGGCTGTGTTTTTGAGCGCAATGAGCAGATCTGTTGGTTTTAGTCGCTGTTATTTTAAGATAACCTCAAAGTAAATGATTGGAAGGGTTGAATAACAACAACTAAACTCACAATTTGTATAAGCCTAAATAAATATAACCAAATTAATAAAATACGTTTTCATGGTATCCAGTCATTTTGGATTCAGACCAGTTTATTTAGAAATATGGCAGAAACAAGGATATTTTGGCAGCTGTTCCAGTGTTCCCAGCTCTTTTAATAAATTTACTCCTTTTAATATTTTGAAACTCTTCTTTCCTTCCTCATTATGCCTAAAAATTCTCCACTTGCTCTTCAATTTATAAAGGATAAATTAGCAAGGGATAGTCGCAACTCTCACCCTGGTTTTGGGTACTCCCGTCGTGTGTGTACCAGGTTAATGTTAGGCCATAACTTTATTCCTATTTTCCTCATTTTAGTTCTATTTCTAGTTCGGGGACGGTCTGTGTTGGCCAAGTGGATATACCCTCTGCTCATAAGTTTCAGTTTCTTTATACAACTTGATGTAAAGTAGGCGAACAAAATTAATTACCACCATATAGGTACCGGTACATGTACTTCTGGAGCGCCGACTTTTGTGCAGTTTGAATAGCTCATGTTATGTATGTAAAATATTTATTACAATATTAATACAACACCCAAATACGAAGTAAAATCCAGCCCTCATAAAAACCATAATTTTTCATTCTCAGGAGTAATTCCTTCCAAGTTGAGAAACGCCTTCCTAGTAAGCTATATTTAAACGTTTACTAAGGTATTGTATACTGAACTGAAAGTCCTTCCTCCCTGTTTACTTTCTACTTTGGATCTGGTCTAACTTTTTCAGACAAAACAAGATATGGCTGCAAAGAGCAAATGATAATAAGATCTCTACTATTTTTGAAATTTTTATAATAATATTGTTAACTGACTATTGAACAGACTATTGATCTTATTTTGTCTGAAGTTAAACTATTATCTAACGAAGGCTTACAAGTATACTTGCTATTCCGTGAAAAGAGATTATGTTATTCTTAATTATTTTCAAATTCTCTTCAAATCTTTTTCAGGGAACCCATGTTCTAAGAGCCCCATATGCACAACCAGTGTTAGATGCTTCTAAACTTAACACAAGTGGGGGAGGAGAAGGCGCGAAAAAATCATCATCAATAGAAGAACGTCTCGCTTCAGCGAGAGAAAGGAGGATGCAACAACAAAAACAATTAGGTTAGTTTGATTTTTATGTTTTCAATTTAGATGTGCTAACGTAGAAGTGTATTGTGTCAATGTCCCTATAAAAACGCTTAATCGTTGTAAAGTAAATTCAGATTCCTAATTCTTCAAAAATTAGTTATGCAATCAAAAATTTATTTTTCAAAATTATTGTGTGATTCCAAATATTTTCTCCAAGTTACACTTAAATTTATTTAATTGTTATACTTATATCATTGGTCTGTTATGTAGATGTAGAATTATTCCATTTCATTTAGTGTGAATAAAATAATTTGGTTTCTTTGTGATTGTTTCTTCTTGATAATTTCTTCCTTATGTGCAAGCCTTAATTTTTGCCAAAGAAAACGGCAGTTCATATTATTATGCTCACTATAACCATTTGCTAAAATTTTCCTTACCTATCCTAACCCAAAATGAATCCCAATTTCTCTATTTTTCTGAAATTTAGACTGTTTGCACATAAGATTTTTGAACAAGAGGCCTGCTACTTTAATGAAAATTAAAGTGTTTTGTAGCTGTTAGTTGTGTAATATCATCATTTAATTATTGTACCATCAGTAATTTTTTATTTTTAATTTAACAATAATTTTTGTAATTCATGATTGTTTTTATTTTTGTTGCCGTTTTGTTCGCCAGTATTTGGGAGTAATGATCAAGAAAATCCAGGTAATTGTTTCACGCATGACTACCCATGCATGATACCAATTGTCATAACCAATTCAAGCATGAAATCTGCAGAGCGTGAAATCAATATACTGATTTTTATGATATGGTGTTACCATAATACCATCAAGTCACCCAAGATTATGGTTTCATTGTTATATGAAACTACTATTGATCATGTTTACCATTGGGTAAATAAAAATTCATATCAATCTATCTAAATGGTGGATTTCACAAACTAGTACGCAATGAAAAATGCACATCAATTTATAAGTTCAAGTAGAGACTCCCTTTCTGTTTATTTTCTGATATATTCGGGTTCATGAATGGTTCCTGTAACAATTATACCTGCATACAACCATATTAGGTATTCCTGAAGTATGCATATAAAGATGTCGCACAACCTGAACCCTAAACTGGTACACAACCTGAGTTCAGGTCGTGCGCCATCTTAGTGCGCATACTTCAGGAGGTCCCCATATTAAGTATTGAAGTATTGGAAACAGGGGAGTAGCCATGGGTTAAAGGGGGAGGAGAGAGATTCCTAAGTGTCTTATTAGGGGTCTAAAAAGCATTTTCAAGCAACAGTGAATTGCCATGTATGTATGATACAGGAAAATTTTACATTTTTAAATTTCCGTCCCTCGACTCCCCTGGCTATGTCCCTGGCCCTCATTACCTGAAGCCATAGCCCAACTTATTATCACCCATCTTCTACATAACTGGTTACCTTGCATTGGATCAGGGTATAATATGTTTATTAATAAGAGGATTGCTGGACACCTTTGCTGCCACAAGGCATTACATTTAAACTTTGCATCTTGAACACTACATGTACGTATACACTGGCTAGGTATTCTCATAAGTAGGCTTGTAACATGGTGAGAAAGTTTTGATAGACTTGTTTAATGGCGCTCCCGTAGTATTTGCACCAAGATGGCAGACACCTGAACATAGTATGTGTACCAGGTTAGGGTTAGGCCATAATTTTACTTCGATTTTCCTCATTTCAGCTCTATTACAAGTTCGGAGACTAGCCAAGTGACTTCCGTAGTATTTGTACCTGAAATTATGGCCTAACCCGATACACATACTACGTTCCGGTGTCCGCCATCTTGTTGCACATACTACGGGAATACCTGTTAAATTATATTTTTAATTAAGCTGTCGGGCCAGCTTTCGAGCCTGTTTTAATTGTTCAATTATATAACATATACAGGATCCTTTTCTAGCTGACCCTTTTTAATCCAATTTTGAAAAATAGCATGGTGATTCATTTATCATAACACCATTTTTCAAACATAGGGCTGTTCATTTTCAATAAACGAGTACTGTAATTTTTTTACCCATTTTTCAATCTGTGAACTCAAGCGTCGATGCAAACCTTTTTCTGGTTGTAGTTCAAATGTGCCTTATAGACTGATACAGCCTACTATATTTAAAGGAATTCAGAGAGCGATGACATCATCATCATTGTAATTGAGAATGTATATCGTTTCTAATTCATTTGCTACTGCTAGAGATTTAGAGGAAGTTTTCCATTGATTCTGGTCAATTAGGCATTACCTTTTTCGAGGGAAATCATTTTATCCATCTCTGATCTTTATAAATTGCAGAAACAAATTATTAATTCAACTTTGATAAAATCAAATATTTATGTGTTTTTCTTCTTCTCTCTCATGATGTCATGTCTTGCTAATATTTCCAAGGGCATTACATAACTTCCAAGGTCATTAAATTATTCATATAAGTCTGGGGAAATTAGAAATGACTTTTGGTCTGTATCCTATTGAAGCTATAACCTACTGGTTTGAAACTTAATAATAGCGGACTAAAAACTTTGTATGGGTGAGACGTGCTTCAGAGGTGTTCTTAATATTGTCTAGTTAGTTGATGATTGCAGATGTGATATTTATGGCCAGAAAGTAAATTAAGATTTAATGTTTAGCTAAGTATTTGTTACAAACGAGACTACAAAGGGGGTTCTTTATAGTTTATTCACGATTTCTAGATTTTTCTGTTTGATTTGCAGGTTTTTTGAGTATATTAGTGGCTCTGGCTTCAAAATTCAATGGTCGGTTATGAATTTGTTATACTGTAAATTCGGTGCTCCCGAAGTATGCAAACCAAGATGGCGGACATCGGAACGTAACATGGGTAACAGGTTAGGGTTAGCGATAATTTTTTTCCAATTTTTCTTTTTTTAGTCCTATTATCAGTTCGAAGACTAGCCAAGAGCCTCCCGTAGTATTTATACCTAAAATTATGGCCTAACCCTAACCTAGTACACATATTACATTCCGATGTCCGCCATCTTGGTTCGCATATTTCGGGAGCCCCGTAAATTCTTTATAAAAGTCTGAAAAAAATTGGAAATGACTTTAAATCCGTACTGCGCCATATAATCTATTGGTATCTTTTACATTGAGAAATGTATTGCCGGCAAAAAATTAGTTATGGATGAGACAAGCTTAAATGGTATTTTTTATGTCTAATTCATGTATGATTATAGTTGAGTTGTCCCAGTGATTTCCCTACACCCCCCCTATAGGGGGTGAACACCCCCCCTAAAATTTCAAACACCCCCCCTAATTTTGAGGTGCGATTTCACACTGAGGGGTTCTAGACCGCAGTCTGCGGGCCAATTACGGCCCGCGTGACGATTTAAAATGGCCCGCCGAACTTGAGTGAAATAGTTTAACCCTTCATGTGGTACCACAGTTTAAGCACGTTTATTTCGTAACAATTGAATTATTCCGGTATCTTATGTATAGATATGATTATTATGATTATGAATAAATACCCTCATTAAAAACAAACCTCATTATACTATAAGAATGAAACAGTACACACATAAACTAAAATGTTATCCGTGATAAACTAACACACAACTGATACCATATTGGTGTCTTATTTTGTACTTTGTAGGAACTCCTCGTTATTCCAAAAAATATTATAAATTTATGAGAAAAAAAATAATAAATGTGAAAAAGATTAAACTGTAACGGTTCCACGTATAGTTTCAATGTGGTAGCCAAATGTAATATGGTTAATGTTCCCACCCACCGCACAGGGTTGATCCACGTAATCTATTCTCAGCTATTTACGTTCGTCGTATCTTTAAGATACCATAAGTTTTGATGCGTACGCTTGCTAAATACACTGCAGTATTTTAGATATCAGCCTTATATTAAGAAAGCTTGAAGATGTCACAAAACGAAAACTAGGCACTGAAAACAGGCGTTTTTTAGATGAATGACAGCGTTTTTATTTCTTTATCGAAAAGAATCAAACTTCAGCGATTTGTCTTCTTACCAACAAAATATTTCAGTTCTGAAAGAATACAACATTATGATCAGTTGACGAGCGTATTTCAAAATTTAATTCATACAAAAGTCAAACAAACATGTTCAAAAAAATTAGAAATGTGTAACAAAACAAGCCATAAGTAGCCATTCATACAATGCCAGATGAGCAAGTAACTTCATTAGTCACTATCAGTTGCAAATTACTTGTTGAAACGTAGTAGTATATATTTACGGTTGGAAGCCGTGCTTGTTATCTATTCCCCGGGAATTTTATCAGCTAAATATTATGATTATTGATTTTATTACATAACAAACTGCGATGCTAGGTGTATCTAAAATCAAGCTTAGAGCCTATTTTGGTGCCTATTTCTCGAAATTTTTCTCAAAAACCCAGCCGTGTCGTCCCGCACTTTTCCTCGCTCCCCTTTTCTGGCCCTACAATTTCATTCTGCTGTGGAATTTGGCTCGCCGTCAATCAACTTGGGGGCCCCCCATGTACATCGTCTCTTAAATACATACCATTTTTTTAAGAATACAAATAGCCTAGTTTTATCTCTAATAGCAAATTATTTACCACCCCCTAAATTTTGAAACACCCCCCCTAAAGAGAAAAGCTGGGGAACATACTGAGTTGTCCTAATGTAGGTTTTATGGCTCTACTGATAGGCTCTGCTTTGAAATTTGACCAAGCATTTGTTATATATGAAACATGCTCCATAGCATTTTAGTGTGTAAAAGATGCTTTATTAAAGGCTTTAAATGCATAATATGTGCATTTCATGCATGATTGTAAATAAGTTGCATATTTTGCAAATTTTATGGCTTCACTGGTACATTCAGTTCAGCAGTTTATTGGTTAGACAAGGAATTGTTTTAAATGAAACTCTTTTCAAGGTCACTCTTTATGTGAAGGTCATGTATGATCGTTGATATACTGTTTTTACTTAGGTTCTATAGCCAGTAGGTAATGGCCTTTGGTTTCCTTGAATGAAATTGATAAGGTTTATAAGGCTGTAATTAGGGTTCAGGTTTCGTACCAGTTAAGTGAGGTTTTACGACCTTGTGGTAAATGGTGAATCAATTGATCATTTTGTCTGTGTCTTGGAGGTTTGAATAGTCTTGGTTATAGGTTTAGTTAGGCAGCACAATTATTGGTTTTGAATGGGAATTTGGCAGTGATTTTTTGCACTTCAATTCTGGCTGATAAATTTTAGAGCAAGTATAATATACAGCGTTTTTTATGCTCCGATTCTGGCTGGTAATTCTAATTCTGGTTGCTGGAACCTTCCTTGAAATAAAAGAAAGATTTAGCATTAGGATATTCTTGTCAGCCTTTTAGGTATTGTGGTATCAGTATTTAATTGGGATTTTGGGAATTCAAAGTGATTATCTTCATAAAGGTAACTGTAGTTTGTTGTTCTAAATACCTGACTCACACTTGATCTTAATTAATATATACGAAACATTTCGCAATAAAAAACTTGAGTATACCGGTAGTTTGAAATATATTTTTATTGTTTACGAAAAAACAAATTTTCGCAATCTCGATTTCTTGAATTGTTGGCAAATTTTATCTGTATGACAGTTTTTGTAATGTTTAAATAGATATTGGCTGGCATACTGCTTCTTATAAAATATTCAATACAAAATATCCAAGACTTACTAATTAGATTAGTCTTTCAAATGACTCATATG